TTACGCGTCGGGCGATTCTTTGCCTCCACGTCGTGCATTTAAAATCCTTTAACGCACGGCTAGCCGTTGATTATCCCTTAGTTATGTTATGTTATGTTATGTTTAAAGTAAATCACAAAACTCTTTGGTAACACTTTAATTAAAGCCTTTATGTATAATGCATTATAAAAGTAGTTTTAATGCATTAGTTACGCCTTGTACACAATCGCATGAATAATTGTAAGTTAATATATTCTAACACTTATCAATTAATTGTTACTCTATGCATGCATTTTAAATTTGGTTATAATTATTTACGACAGGATATAGGCCTAATGTATTACAACGCACATTATGAATAATTTTAATGCATTATAGCCTTTAATAACCCTTTATAATGCATTATACATAAAGGCTTTAAGTAAAGTGTTACCAACTCTTCTTCTAAAATTTATAGTTAGTTTGTTGGAGAAATATACTTCAGGCACAATAATGTGTAGCACTACTGTGCAGCTATTGGACAACTGCTGGCAACTGAAATTCCATTCAGCCACTATTGTGCCAACTCATTTTTAATGCAATATATTGTAATGTTATAGTTTTGTATAAAATTTCCGTTTCAGTCAACTTTTTGTCAGAAGCAGTTTGTTGACTTTGATGGGATGAGTACTAAACATTTGCTGGACTTCTTTATTGTGCGGTGGACACGGAGTCCTCTCATGATCTCATGCGCTGTGACAGTGAGCTCTCAGTCTCTGGCAGCTCGCTTTCAACAATCCAGATTTGTGTGCTGTGAGGAAGAGTGGGCCTGCAGTGAAATAACTCAAACTCAAACTGCTGCTGAAATGTCCGTTTCAGAGCAGCAGATTCTTCCCTTGCTTTCCGTCTCAGGCCTTGAGACACGTTTTTATCTTTCATCTGAGTCAGTTTGTTTAACTACTGTCAGATTATCATGATCATGTTAGAATCATGAATAGATGAGTTATTAGTTATTTTAGATGTCCGTCTTGGCACAGTAGAGAGTGATGTCATTGTTTAAAAATTAAAAACAGATGGTTGAATTTATTGGTGACACTTTGTAATGTTTTTTGACTTGGTAACTAACCCTAACAAATTAACTTTTTTTCACTTAAGCTGTATTCATAATTCATGTGGTGTACCA